TATGTGTGAAGTTTGATTGTTATTGGTCCAGGCATTTCTAAGATACAGAAAGCACGAAGGTCAAAACATAAGTCCCCGTTTTCAGGCTGCATTTGAACGGGGACTAAAAAACTCCAAATGACAAGTCATTGAAAATGACACAGTCCCCGTTAAATTTTTAAAAGTTCTCTTTGTGCTCGTCATATTAAAGTGGAGGGGTTGTCGCGAGCATGTCCTTGAAACTTGAGTCCAAAGTGGCAAATACAACAGATTGTTTAGTCACACCAAATTTGAACACATGTTGCATGACAACCCCTCCGGTTTAAAACATAGCAAAGAAAAACATAGATCACAAGTGAAAGCATGTCCAAGTTATCACATTTTAAACAAACAAGATGGCCGCCAGTCGGCCATATTTGATCAAATTGCAAATTGAATTGACATGTACATGTATCCATTTATGACATGCTAAATATCAATGAAAATGATACATGGGTGACAGAGATATAAATCTTTGATCTGATTATGAAACAAAGTGACATGTATGATGTATGTGCCAAATACGAATGAAAATGGTACATAAATCCTGGAAATATAGTAGTAAGACCAAAAAGTCAGATGGCTGTCAATCGGCCATCCTTGATCCGATTTTGAAACAAATTGTCATGGACATGTATCCTAAGATATATAAAGCATATGCCAAATTTGAATGAAAACTAACAAAGCATGTCCAAGATACCACATTTAAAAAAAAAAACAAGCTGCCTGCCAGTCGACCATCTTTAATTCAATTGCGATAGAAACTGTCATGGACATGTATACTAACATGTATAATCTATATACCAAGTTTGAATGAAAATTGACAAAGCATGTCCAAAATACAACATTTTCAAAAAACAAGTTGGCTGCCAGTCGGCCATTTTGAATCGAATCACTAAACCACTGCATGTGCATATGTCCCACATAAAGTACTAGGCACATGCAAAGAATGAACAGAATTGGTCCAAAGGATTCTAAAATATGACTCCAGGCGGACGAATGCACCGACGGACGCAGGCACAGACAGACAGACAGACAGATGGACAGATGCACGAACGGTCGGAGGACATGTATCCTAACATGTATAATCTATGTACTAAATACTAAATATATACTCTGCAAAAAATGCAACTCTCCACTTTCTAATCTCTTGTGAATAAAAAGAAGAAATGGAGAAACTATATTTTGAATTCAGCAATAATCTTCTTGATTTGAATAGTACTGACAGTACAAACACATTTGTTACCTTCATGAATAATACTTCATTTGTTAGAAGTATTCCTCTAATATTTTTATGTTAACATGATTGTTATGGTGTAATAACGATTATTATTATACATCTGTCACCGTAACGCCATAAGTTACAGCGTGTTGTAATTTTGTGGTATTTTACAGGGTATTTTCATCCTATCATATTGGGAAATGCAAATTCCAAATATGGAATGATTACGCGCTTATTAAGCGTCCTCTAATAATAAAAACAAATATGGCTGCCACCAGGGTTTGAACGGACTCCACACAAAGAAGTTTGCTGATTTTGGATTTCGACATTCCCATGATGTAACCTTGCAAGGAAAAGATGCATAATAATAAGGTTATTACAAGAAGGGATTTTTTTAAACAAGGGAACAGGGGCGCAGCGCCCTCCTGCCATGGCCATGCGCCCCTTACCCTGGGGAGCAGATCCTCTGGCAACCATAAAATTCTGATTGACCAGTCTGATAGTAATTTTGGCCCCAAGGAAGCCATAGAATGCTCCATTTTAATTTAGAATTATCAAAAACTCCACACCCTGGTAGGGAGAACCCTATCTCCCCAACTGAATTGCAGTGCTCCCTCTTGTAGTTTTTTTCTAGAAAAAACCCTGAATGAGGATACCTCAAAGTATGCACTCAGACAGCGCTCAGACGTTGTATCGACCTCCATTGCGTGATACTCCCACTGTACGGTCTTCATGCATACTTTGAGGTATCCTCGTAATAACCTCATATTATTATAATCATCTGAAGAATCAAACTAATTATTATGAAAATTACTTATGAATATGCAAGTAAATTTCAACCAAATTCTAATCAGGTCTACAGATTGTCCAAAAACATCTACTAGAGGTAACACCTCAGCAAAATTAAATGACCACTCGACAAATTCGCAAATGGTGGTTACATAAATTTTAAAATAATAATATTATTAAGATTGTTTGCTAAGCACTGCACAATAGTGCAACAATGTGCAGCAAAACGATAAACGGAGAGGCTAAAGAAGCTCTTTGAAAATAAAACATGCTGTACTATATGAACACGCTTTATGCTACAATATTAGGTAGGTAATTAGGAAGTAATAAAAATAAACTAATCTACAAAAACAGAATATCAATAGAAAAAACATTAAAACAACTCCTTGTAAAAGAAAGATGTATAATTTTATTAATTCTGTATTTGTTGTCTAATTTCAAAGCACTTGTTGATATACTGTGCTACCTGGATGAACATCATTATTTAACAGTGCAGTGAACTGTTCTTCAGGAGGCAGGTTGTGAAAGGAGTCAATCACATCAGTCGTGGTATCAAACACAACACTGTCTGTCACTGTATTTGGGACACTCCACCATAAAATGAAATTCATTTTCAATGGTACCTTGATTACACATGTCACAAACCCTGTTATTGAGTGGAGTACAATTGTGAGGGCATGGTCACTCAGATAGAACTTAGCCAGACCAGTTCTCAAATCAATGTTTTTGATATTGATGAGATATGGTTCCATACTGATATTGAATTTAAATGTTCTGTAAGTTCAGACTTTTCACGAATATCACTGTAAATTGTTTATTTCCAATGAGATGTAAATTTATGTTTGAGGGTGGACTTGATATTTATTTCTGCTGAAGTTAATTTATCGCTTTTTATAAATTAAACATTCCTGTTTGATATTCTTCAGCAAGTCTGTAATTTCAAAATAACACTTAGTTTTTAGGCTTTTATTAACTGAAAAAGCTTCTTTAAGAAAAACATTTTTGGTATTTTGAATGCGGTTGTAATATTTTATTAATTGATTTTTAATAAATATATCCAAAGGGTATCTCCCTAACTCGCTGTAAATTCCCATAATTGGGGTTTTTTGGGAAACTTGAAGGAGATATCGACAGTATTGAATATTGATGTCCTCAACTGGTGATTTGGATGAGAACTCGTCACCCCACACATCGCAAGTAGACATAAACAAGTAGCAGTCGTATTAATTTGTCAAAAAGGGATTGTGACAAGGTGATGGACAAATTGTGTATTGCGCCTTAATAGTTTTGAGAGAAAACAGTGGTTTTTGAGCCTTCTTTTAAGGTGCTTTAGAACTTCATTTGCACTGATTATTGAGCCCAGATAATTAAATGTTTTGACTGTCACAATTTCACTGCCACCTAGAAAGAAAGTGTCACTGTTTAGACATCTGTTTGATTTGTTAAAAACTAATACTTTAGCTTTTTCTGGGTTTACAGTTAATTGCTATTTATTAACATACTCTGACAAGTTATCCAGACATTGATAATCACTTTTGTGATCTTTGGTGATATTTAGGAATTTCTTGATACTTTTTGGCTGCACCACACAGCATTCTGATTGATTCATAACTGGCTTGACCTATCAGGTCATGATATGCAGTTTCAGGTCAACTAGTACATGAAAAAAACACATTGCAAACTTTGTTTTTTACAGTAAGTGTTTGCATGAGACCAAAACATTCACTTACAATTAAACTAAGTTTAATTGACTATGATTGATCAGCCGGATTGACAGAA